AACAAAGGAAAAAAGATTGAAATTTTGAAAAAAAAAGTTTTTCTTAGTTTCTGTTATAAAATTTTGTAAATAAGTAATTTTTCTCCTTCACCGATGTGCGCTGCTGAGGCAACACTGATATTCGACACTGATGGTACTGACAGGCATCACTGATGGGCACAGAAAGGCAGCACTGATAGATGGCACTGATAGGCAGCAATGATGGCCATTGACAGGTATCACTGATATGCGGCACTGATATGTAGCTCTGATAGGCGGCAATGATGGGCACTGATGGGGCTACACTGATGATCAGTGCCCTGATTATCAGTGTAGATGTCCCCCCTGATGATTGCCACTTATCTGTTCTTTTCTCCTCACTTGTTGTCAGCACAAGGAGAGGACTGCTGACAACCGTCATTTCCTGTTTATATGTGATCAGCTGTGATTGGACACAGGTGATCACATGGTAAAGAGCCTACGTCATTGGCTCTGTACACAGCGAACCACCAATCTCCGCGTGTGTGCAGCTAGAGTAGGAGGACGTCATGCGACGTCCTCCCAGGATAAGAGAGCTCCCGCCTGTCCATCATTTTCCAATACGGTGGGTGGGAGGTGGTTACAGTAGAAAAAAAGCCTGTCTATAACCATTCTTAAAAATGTTCCCACCCATCCTGCCTAACCTGTATAAAAAAAAAAATCAGTGTACTTGCCCATTGTTAATCTGCTCTGATCCACTCACATGATCCTGTAGCTCCGACTCCCCTGTGTTAGTGAATGGCTGCTGCAGGGGAGAAGAGGGTGCTTCAAAAAAGACTAGGCTATGAGAGCCTATGGGTCACATCACGGTTCTGGCAATTCACAGCTGTTGACGAGCGCTCACTTACACAGAGCTGACTAAGGCTGACCATAGATGGAGCATATTTCTTTCCTGCAACTACAGGTCAGGTTCCCCTGTGTCAGTGAGTGGCGCTAAAGGGGAGAGGAGGGAGCACCAATAACAGCTGGGCCATGAAAACCTAGAGGTGAGAGAGTGGATTGAAAATAGGCAAGTATACAGATCTTTTTTTATACAGGTTAGGGAGAAGGAGGGGGTCCGGAGGGAAACATAAGAATAGTTATCGTTAGGCTTTTCCTCTCCTTTGACAAAGTGACTAGGGATGAGCTCAGGTATGTTTGGATCCCTTGTCCAAACTAAACAAGCGCACCAGGAAGCTGTCACCTGTACTGGGTCAATCATAAGTGGTCAGGGCATTGCCACCCCACAACCATATGTATAAAAGGAGCAAGTATACTGCAGGACAGGGATAGGGTTGCCACCTCATCCCTTTAAACCCGAACACATATTATTGCACAGGTTCTGTGGCTGATTTAATGCAGATAAGGCACAAAGTGAGTTTAATTACCACCTTAATCAGCCACAGAACCTGTATAATTAATGTGTTTCGGATTTAAAGGGGTGAGGTGGCAACTCTAGATGGGGAATGCTTTGCCCACCTATGATTGGCCCAGTACAGGTGACATTTTATTAACGTTTGCATAAAAAGAAAACAGTGCAATGCACTGGGATCGGTGAATCTGCACCGTTCTCATCCTCCTGAACACCGGTGGCTGCATTCAAATGCAGCTGCTGGTGTGAGCGGGCTCTTAGTATCATGTACATACTTTCTGGTATCCTTTAAGACTAGGTTCACAGCTCCGCGTTCCTGTGGGCTGCATTTTGAACTGGCACGAGAGCCCCTTCATTTGAAAGGACTCCCGTGCCCCGGGACAACAGGGAAGAAGTTCCTGCACTTCTTCAGGAAACGCAGCCTGCACAGGAAACGAGGTTCCCAGTGCGGTTGCGATTTCCAGAATTAATGGCACCCGCCTGCGGGTCCCGCATTCCTCTCTGCGGGTGGTGCGGCTGCAGGTACTTTTGTGCGCGTCCCGCAGCGAAACCACCTGCACAGATGTGAACCAAGCCTTAGGACTCATGCACAAGGGCATTCTGAAATATTGATCATCTGCACAGGAGAGTTCCAGCAGATGTTTGCAGAAAGATCCTGCGTAAAGAACATATTCATAAAGCGCTTGCGTTTAGATACAAAAAAATTTATATGCGTGTATATGCGGTATATTTGTTTTTTTTCTTCCTTCTAGGTTTGCTTTAAAGACATTGTTATAATTTACACTTGTACACATGTACAGTTGTGTTCAGGTTAGTGATGTCTGACTGCTATTATTTTGATCAATCACTGTTTTTGGTAGAAATGATATTTCTACATGGCAAATAATTTACTAGCAGGTGTAGTAGAGTAATAGAAATCCAACAGACCCAACAGTCATGACATGCATGCTGCTGATTCTGTGTAATTGAATCACTCATTGAAAGGGGCATGTCAAAATAATAGCAGTGTGGAGTTCTATTAGTGAGGTCATTCATTCTTTGAAAAACAGGTGGCAATTATTGCCCTTATTTAAGGAAGGAAGGCAGCGAATGTTGTACATGCTGGTTACAGTGCATTTCTCTCTGAAATTCAGAGGAAAATGGGTTGTTCCAGACATTGTTCAGAAGAACAGCGTACCTTGATTAAAAAGTTGATTGGAGAGGGGAAAACATATAAAGAAGTAGAGAAAATGATAGGCTGCTCAGCTAAAATGATCACAAATGCTTTATAATGGCAACCAAAACCTGAAAGACGTAGAAGAAAGCGAAAAACTACCATTCGAAGAGGTTACAATTTGCCAAAGAGCACATTGACTGGCCTAAAGAGAAATGGCGCAACATTTTGTGGACTGATGAAAGTAAGATTGTTCTTTTTGGGTCTAGTGGCCGGAGACAGTTTGTCAGACGACCCCCAAACACTGAATTCAAGCCACAGTACACTGTGAAGACAGTGAAGCATGGTTGCGCAAGCATCATGATATGGGGATGTTTCTCATACTACGGTGTTGGGCCTATTTATCGCATACCAGGGATCATGGATCAGTTTGAATACATCAGAATACTTGAAGAGGTCATGCTGCCTTATGCTGAAGAGGAAATGCCCTTGAAATGGGTGTTTCCAACAAGACAACGACCCCAAACACACCGGTAAACGTGCAACAGCTTGGTTCCAGACCAACAAGATTGACGTTATGGATCCCCAGATCTTAATCCAATAGAAAACTTGTGGGGTGACATCAAAAATGCGGTTTCTGAGGCAAAACCAAGAAATAGAGAAGAACTGTGGAATGTAGACCAATCATCCTGGGCTGGAATACCTGATCACAGGTGCCAGAAGTTGGTTGACTCCATGCAACACAGATGTACAGCAGTTCTCAGAAACAGTGCGACTACAACTAAATATTCATTAAGTGATTCAAAAGAAATCAAAATCTTCAAACATTTTTCAGTTTATATAGTGAATGTTTGTTTTTGTAAAGAGGAATACAAACACTGCTATTTTTTTGAACAGTCTAATATTCACTTTTCTTCAATTTTTTTAGAGGAACAACACAAATTTGATGTATTTTTCTTCATGTTTTGATTTGGAATAGAATGTGTAGTGTTCCCAATGCATTTGTGTGTATGGAAATAAAAGCTATTAGAAGGATTTTGAGTTTTATTCACTTTTTTCAACACACTGCTATTATTTTGAACAAGTGTTTATACGCATATACACATAAAGTACTCTCCTTAGAGGGCAGATTTTTCCGTTTTGATTTTATGGATCTGAACACAGTGCAAGTTTACTTATTTTTGTGGAAGGGCATATAGATAACAACAGGACTGAGTTCAGATCTGTAAAATAAAATTGCAGTAGTGATAATAATGCAGCCTTTTTTGTGCATGAGCCCTCTGTGACCTCTGATGTATGGAAGTGAAGGTACAGAATAGAGAATCATGTAAAATGAGACTGCTGAGCTGGAAACCCTCTAGGAAACTATCTATATATATGACTACATCTGATTTTTTTTATTATTATCCTTAACTTTTATTAATATTTTGAATTAAATAAAACTTCTCACTGACTGATCATTGCCCACCACAGATGGCTGAGAACAAACAGACTTGAGCAGACGTTGGATTTCTATTGCTTACAGTCTGATGATCAACTACTTCATGGGAAAAGTCTAATTGCAGTGAAGCTAATAAAGATGTTGAAGAATAAAAAGGTAATGGTAGTGGAGAAGTAGAAAAGAATGGGAAATTGAAATAAATCAAAGCTGAACGCCAGACAGAAATATAATAGAAACACAATTGAATCCAGTTACATTTCATAAGTATTTTTACATAAAGCTACCATATGAACCCAAATCCATCTTGATATGAGTCTCTTGTAATCCTCAGTACAGAAGCACTCAGACTAGGAGAAGGAAGGGAGGCATTCTGTGCCAACCAGAGCTCTAACGCTTTGCACAGTGCTGTCATTCTAGCATAGGGAACATTCAAACAGGAGGGTAGATTACAATCAAATATGCTGCTGCCTTCATTGTTCAGTCAAGTTTTGGGGATAGACTCTGGACCAGGTTGAATTTCTTGATTCCTGCGTTATCCCTTTGGGATGAATAAAGTATTCTGAATCTGAATCATCTGTAGGGGTTCCTGGATCACAAGAATTAGACATTCTCTGACAGGTAAAAATGGTGCACATATGTGTATTCCAAGCACATATATAGCTGTTTGTCTTGAGTTGAGCTTTAGTGAGAGAAACATAGGGGGTTAATGGATATAAATGTCATTAAAACAAACTTTAAGCTGAAATTAGGACTAAAATGGTATAAATACAAGTGGCTTATGAATTCTCATTTAAAGTGTTACTAAGCCCAGGACCCTGCATTCACTATATCTGGTCTCCCACAGTACACAGAACATGGAAGTGCAAATATTTTAGTAAATATAAACTGCTAAATACCTTTTCTCGTCAGCAGTATATAGCAGTCTTGTGACTTCTATCAGTGCCCAGCAGGGAACATGTTAAAACTTGTAGGAGGAGTTTTCAATCTGCTCTAGGAGGATGCAGAACCCTGACCTCTGTTAGACAGTGCTGATTAGCCCTGTGCTGATCACATGCATACACCAAACTGAGCATGTGCAGAGTGACTCCACACAATATGTCTTATCAGGAGATAAGAAGGGACACTGGAAGAAGGGGAGGATCAGAGAAGACAGGAACAAACAGCCTTTTTACACAATGCAGAGGATTAACCCCTTAGGTTACACAGTGAGTATAACAAGCATGCTTTACTGCATATACAGACTGATTTTACTGTTGTGGGTTTAGTAACACTCTAAATCTTGGTGTGCTTTGTGTATTGCTTCCAGACCTGTGTAGTGTAAGAACATGTAAGCATATCTGCAATCTGTTTCTGTACAGAAGCTTCCTGTAATAAAAACTAGCCACTACAGCTCTACTTTCTTGTGCAGGGATTTTATCTCCACCCCCTCCTGTAGTTTTCTGCAGGCAGCTTGTAATGGGTGGAGCCTGCTGGACCCCTTCAACTGCTCAACTCTCTGCACATGTACAGAAAAGTGATGATGGCACTGCTGCTTTACAAGATAATATCTGGGTTTGCACAGAGTTGATATATATTCATTTTTGCTTTTGAGAAATATATTCAAGTACAAGTTTTTCTGCCCAGAGATCTATATGATGAAGCATCGTCCAGAAGAAGAGTGCATTCTATGCAGTGTGTTATTATGCAATACAAAACATGTGTTATACTGGATGGCTCCTGTCAAAAAGGATGGATGCTGCGATATGTGTTGAGTCCTTGCCCACTGGCCCAGCTCTACATCTTTGGCCTGTTGGAAGACCTGGGGGTAGCACCAGCCTTCTTCACACCTATATGGATGTATTACATTGGTCATATGTCATTAGTATTTAGGGGAATAAGGGATCAAAACACATTATTTATCTAGTTTTTGATTAGTTGTTTCATCTTTATCATCTAAATCATTATTTGTTGTATTATTTATGTGTTGGTCTTTTTTGTTGTGATATGGGTCACATTAACGGGAGACTCTTTGATACTCTTTCATTGCTAATGCCTTTGAACTTATATGAAACTGGTGGACTTGTTGATGGGGGGGGAATGTTTCCTTGTTTTATATATTGTATCACATGTGTAAGATAAAACCCTTATACCTACACTCACTCAGTTCCCAATATTCTACTGAACCAAAAGTTCATAATGGTTTTTTTTTTTTGCTGTATTGACCTTAGCAAACAAAGGTCAAGATCTTTTTTTTTTTACTCCAAGGTTCCATTTTTTTCAGGAACCAGGGGCACCAGCCAACATCATTTAAGGAAGAACTCCAGGAATACAAAATGATATATAATAATATGATTTACAATTAAATTTTTGTTCCCAATCCAGAGACTGTTAGCTACAAATTTCAGGACCCAACAAGGCTCCACTATGCTCACACTGGTGAAGACAGACGGAAAAAAGTTGTGGGTCCCACAGAGGATATATATATTAAATAAAATACTATCCTGCGCTATGTGCATACAAAAATCATCAAATAATTAATTAAATAAACAGCTGCACTCACTGTGTCTTCTCTAGAAAAATCGTGCTCAATCCATGTTTCAAATGACAATAAAGTGACTGCTGCTTGCAGTTCTCACTGCCACCCAGAGAAATACAGGCCTCTTACCAGAAGCTAAATCCTCTAGATCAAGGTCTTACACCGCTTTAGGGAAAAAACCCATTCCGGGCTGGATGGATCAACACTTGAACTTCGGTGGCAGTCAGCCTTAGATACGATTAATATGGACCCCATTCACAACACCGCCGTCAGGTGCCAGCCATAGCTTAGAAGCAAATCAATCAGTAGACCCACTTGTGTAAAGGAAAGGGATCACTAATTGTGCAGTATATAAAAAAGGTTATTTAAAAATGTAGACATTCAAAAAATTCAGGAAGCATATCAAATACAAAGCGTCCAGTTCCCCGGCGGGTGTAATGATGTCACTGCTAAGTCTCCATCCAACGCATTTCATCCTGGGACGAAATGTTTCCTGTTTACAAAAAAAGTCAGATTCTTATGGGACTTCTTACCCCAGGGTGGGTTTACTATGGTGATAACAATGTATCATGTCTTTTTCTGAAAGGAACAGAGTGTTGTTACCCTGCAACAGGAAGTGTCTGAACAAGGAGCGTCATGGCAGGATCATCAGGTATAGTTTTAATGAAAGGTGCAGAATTAAAAATTACTTTTAAAACTACTTTAGCATGTTAAAGCTTGAGTTTTTAGTGATTGGGTTTACGTATTCTTTAGGTGTTAGGTTGCCGGTCAGTGTATAGTAAATTGTTATGGTTATGTGAAGGGTTAGGTTTGAAGTTGGGGGCATGGCTGTATGCATTTTATTCATTTGTTTTCAGCATTTTTAAACCACTGCATTGGATTCTTGGCTTTGCCATCCCAACATCCATAAAACTGATTTTTTTGTGTGTGTTGAAAAGGGTTACAATGAAAATTGGACACTCCAAGAGAGCTTCTGGAAGATCAGGTCCACTCAATGTTACGACACTGGAAATTCAATTTGTACGGATTCACAGGCTGTTACTAGGTAACTGTAACACGGCTCCCAATGGTAGTTCATCCACCACATCCAGTGTAGAGTGAAGGTAGAGATGGCAGTAATAATTACTATTTGAAGACGATCTATACGATATATATTTTTATATGTAATATATGATATACAGTACACCAATTAGCCATAACATTATGACCACTGACAGGTATAGTGAATAACATATATTATGTCATTACATAATATGAAAGTGGGTGGGATATATTAGGAATATATTAGGCAGCAATTGAACATGTTGTCCCTGAAGTTGATGTGCTGAAAGCAGAAAAAAAAATGGGCAAGCATAAGAATTTAAGCGACTTTGACAAGGGCCAGGTTGCAATTTACAGGACTTAAAGGATCAGCTTCTGATGGCTTAGTGCCAGATACCACAGCATACCTTCAGAGGTCTAGTGGAGTCCATGCCTCAACAGGTTATGGTGAGTGACAATATTATGGCTGATCAGTTTACATTCTTATATTCTTATATATGATATATATATATGATGTATGATGTATATTTTTAATCTTTAAACCGCTCCCAGTCCAGCCCATGTATATAAACGGCCAGACGGGAGCGGTGCAGGGGCAGGTTGCAGTTCATAAACGGCGCCCGCCATTTTATCCTGTGCGCGCTCCCTGGGAACACGCGGCACCATGAGTTGGTGCACGATGTGTCCTCCGGACACAGCAGAACACCGATCGTTGTACGGGACCTCTGTGTGAGGTCCTGATCATGTGATCACTGATTGGCTAATCAGTGATCACATGAATAGTAGTAAGCAAGATGTCACTTCTGACATCATTGCTTACTATGTGTGAAATCTGTGAATGATCACAGAGGTCACATGGTACTATTCACAACAGCCTTGTAGCATGTGACAAGCTGTGAACAATCACAGCTCTCACAGTATTTCTCAATGGCTGCAAGAATGCAGCTAGAGAGAAAGAGAAATAATTGCTTTTACAGCCTTTATGGGTGTAAAAGCAATCAGTGTAAAAAAAAAAAAATCTTCATCACCCCCCACAAGTAGTACAGTGTCACTATGGTGACACTGTACTGCTAGGGTGTCAGTATGTTAAACCCCCCCCCCCCAAAAAACATAAATAATAATATAAAAAAATTAAATAAAAATGTAAATAATTTTTGGTTATAAACTAATTTATTATTTTTTTACTAAAAAGATAACTGAATACATTTTGGCCAAGATTTATGAAGAAATATTATTTATTAGCAAAACTTTATAAGGAAAACACTTTTTTTCAAAATGTTTGGACTTTTTCATTTATATAGCAAAAATAATAAAAATCCCAGTGGTGAATAAATACCACCAAAATAAAGTTTTATCTGTCTCAAAAAATGCTAAAAAATTCATATGGGTACAGTGTTGCATGACCGCGCAATTGACATTCAAAGTGTGACAGTGTTGACAGCTGAAAATTGGCCTGGACAGGATGTGGTTAAAAGAGAAGTATGGGATTTCGTTGTCTTTTTAAAAATCACACTTACCCCAGGTGGATGCAGCATCAGTCCTATGCTGCATCTGTCCCCCATTGGCTCTAGTGAGAAAGCAGCGATCGCATGACTGCTGAACGCTGAGCTCTCACAACAACTCTAAGCAAAGAGCAGTGACTGTCAGTTACCGCTATCTGCTCTGCCCCCCCACGCTCACTGGAGCACTGGGTTGTGGAGGGGGAGGGAGCGGCTGGCTCAGGCTCTCAGCAGATCGCTGAGATCAGGCTCTCAGGTGCCGCTCCAGACTCTGGGGTGGATGCCGACTTTAAACTTGGGATCTTTCCACAGGATGGACCGGCTGAGTGTCAACAGCCGACAGCGGGCTTCAGCCTGCTGTCAGCTGGAAACGGGTCACAGGAGTGCAGAATGAACCTGTGATCCACAGAAGTACAGCTACACAGTGTGTATTCTGGTTATCATTATATGTGCTTAGCTAACTTACTGTATACGTAGATAGCAAACACCAACCTGTGTTCCTACGGACTGCAAAATACTCCCAGGCAATGACTGCAGTGGAAACATATTGAGGTCTATAGAACATTGGATATGGGTGCTAAAAACTTATGTAGATGTAAAACATCCTCCCCCTTTCTGCCACAATTAATAATTCTCTGAGATAGCATATACCTTTAAATTAAATGTAAACCCGATCAATAAAATATAATATAAACTTTAAACATTAATGTAATTTCAGAAGTCATTTTCTATTATTTTTAATTTGCTGCTTTCAGTAAACTAAATTTGAAGAACCTGCCATGAAGTTCCTTTTTCAGACACTTCCTGTTATAGATAGCAAACCCTGCACAAACCCTCCAACATGCACTAGAGACTCCTGATGTATTTTTTTTTTTTTATAGTTATGATTTGTATGAGACTCAAAACTTCTGTTAAAGTGTAAACTTTGTTTTGTAGCTTTGGTGTAGAGCATCCTGTGGACAGGGCCACCCTGCCCATGCACATGTGGGTACTTTTTGCTTTTGGGTTTCTTTCCTATGCCAGAAACCATCATGCACCCCTATAGAGTAAGTTCAGACCGGAAACACAAACAGTGAGGGCGCAAAAGCCTAATGCATTATCTTTAGCACTTTATTACAAGTAATGGAATACATAAATTATACTCACAAGTCAAGTGGGCTGATAGCATAGAACACAC